TACTTATTGGCACTGATTCTAACTTTATCAACTCTTCTTTCATTGTGAGACCATCAGAATATCTAGCAATAATGGCCAACCGAGCATTCGATGTGACATCAGTAGTTTCATCAAGAGAAATCGAAAAATATTTACAAATATTTAATTCTTTTTTAATTGTTGTTGTACATTTTTGTTAAGATCTATTATTCTGTCTTTGATAGTATTTCTACTGAGTGGTAACTCAGAAATTCTTTTAATAATATCTTTATTTTTCATATCGTGAAATAGAGCTGGTGCACATCTTAGAAATGTTTCCTTAATAAATTCTCTGTCACTGAGGGCTTTTCCATGCTGAGCTATGGAGTGAGCAATATAGTAACTTGCTGATGTTAAATTTGTAGAGCATCTTACAAATTTAATGATGGAATTTGATTGACTTTTATAGAGGTGTAGCTGCCTAGAAATGTATTCCTTCCTTTCATCAATACTTTTTTCAAGAGCTGACAATGATTAGTTTCAAAATGTCTCTTTACATTCCACGTTCTGCTTACTACCGTTTCATTACACAGTATGCACTGTTGTTTCTGTCGACAATCCTGTACATCTCGGTCCATATGTCTTGAAAGGGTCGGCTACTGCTACTTCCACTTCCTTTATCATTCAATCTTGCTTCTTTTTTATTTTTTTGATTCTCCATCACAAGGCTGCAAAAATAAATAAATATAAATCACGGCGTTTTTTATAAAAGGTTGATAGGTTTCTTACCTATTAACTTTTTGCAGTGTTGTTGCACTGACTCCTGGTGCAAAACAATTCAAAGATAGTATGTATAACCAACAAATATATGGTGCTGTAATCAATTATCCAACACACAGAATGTCTCGTCGAGCACTGTTGCACTGTATATCTTTTTCTTCTACCCCTCCCACTCCTGTCTCCTAACGAACATGGCGATCAAGTGCGTCCGTTTGCCGAATGCACCCGAATGCAGGGGAAGCTTACCCGAGGCACATGTTGACAATAACGAGGCCGTTTCCAGAATTGGGCATTTTGTCACTCTAGTAAAAATAAAATGTCATGAGTAAAGATTAATCTCTTTATAGTGCAATTCTTAACCTTTTTATATTAATGTCAATATTGGAACAATGTATCTTGGATGTTTTCACTATGTATCTTTGCTATGCAACACTGATGTACATGTTTACATCCAGTTTTAGAATTGCATTATTGATCATGAGTAACGTGAGTAATAATATTACTCGAGTGATGCCCAACTCTGGCTGTTGCGAGAGACAAATATTTGAATTATGAAATTTCTTGTCTCTGTCGATGCATGTCACCCAAAATAAGTTCCCGTGTCACCTCTGACATGCATGTCATAGGTTTGCCATCACTGTCCTATACCATGACCAAGTTGAATTTATTCCAGAGATGCATGGATGGTTCAATATCCGCAAATCAATAAACATGTTACACCACATAAACAAATTGAGAGGTAAAAACGATATAATCATATCCATTGATGCTGAAAAAAGCATTTTACAAAATCCAACACCCTTTCTTGATAAAAACTCTCAGCAAGGTGGGAATAGAAAGTTCATACTGCAACATAATAAAAGCCGTATATGATACACGCACAGCAAACATCATACTCAATGGGCAAAAACTAAAACTATTTCCCCTAAGAACAGGAACAAGATAGGGATGCCCACTCTCACCAGTCCTGTTCGACATAGTACTGGAAGTACTAGCCATAGTGATCAGACAAGAAAAAAAGTTAAAGGTATCCAAATTGGAAAAGAAGTAAAATTGTCATTATTCGCACATGACATGATATTGTACATAGAAAACCCTAAAGACTCCATCACAAACTACTAGACTTCATAAATGAAGCAGAATGCAAAATTAACACCCAGAAGTCTATAGCTTTTTTATACACCAATAATTAACTCACAGAAAGAGAAACTTAAAAAAATACCATTTACCATTGCAACAACAACAACAAAAACTTTATGAGATACCTAGGAATAAATTTAACCAAGGAAGTAAAGTACCTGGACTCAAAATTACAGGACACTGAAAAAAGAGATAGAGGAAGACATAAACAAGTGGAAGAATATACCCTGTTCTTAAATTGGTAGAATCAACATCATTAAAATGTCCAAACTACCCAAAGAAATCTATAGATTCAATGCACTCCCCATTAAAATTCCAACTGCATACCTCAAGGACCTAGAACAAACTCTCCAAAAATTCATCAGGAATAAAAAAGACCTTAAAAAGGTGCAACAGTCTTGAGAAAAAAGAACAAAGTTGCAGCGATCACAATACCAGATATCAAGCTGTATTACAAAGCCACTTTTCTCAAAACTGCCTGGTACTGGCACAAGAACAAACATATAGACCAATGGTACAGAACAGAGAACCCGGAAATTGACCCAAGTCATTATACTCAATTAATATTTGATAAAGGATGAAAGAGCCTACAATGCACTCAAGACAGTCTCTTCAATAAATGGTGTTGGGAAAAATGGACAGATACATTCAAAAAAATGGAACTAGACCACCAACTTACACCATACACAAAAATAAAGTTAAAATGGATAAAGGACTTAAACATAAGAAGGGAAACCATACAAATCTTAGAAGAAGCCATAGGCAGCAAAATATCAGACATTTGTCATAGCAGTATCTTTACTGATACAGCTCCTAGGTCAATGGAAACTAAGGAGAAAATAAATAAATAGAACTATATAAAAAAAAAAAACCCCTCCTGCACAGCAAAAGAAACCATCAACAAAACAAGAAAGCACACTGCATGGCAGAACATATTTGCCATTGTTATCTCCGATAAGGGTTTAAGCCCCTAAATTTACAGGGAGCTCATACAACTTAACAAAAGGAAGACATACAATCCAATTTTTAAAAAAAATGGGCAAAGGACCATAATAGACACTTTTTGAAAGAGGACATACAGAAAGCCAAGAGATATATGAAAACATGCTGAAAGTCAGTAATCGGTGAGATTCAAAGAATGGATATTATCAACAAATCAACCAGCAAACAACAAGTGATGGCAAGAATGCAGACTGGTAAAGCCACTGTGGAAAACAATATGGCATTGCCTCAAAAAATTGAAAAACTGGAACTTCCATTTGACCCAGTAATCCCACTTCTAGGAATACATCCCAAGAAACTAGAAACACCAATCAGAAAGGATATATGCACCCCTATCTTCATAGCAGCACAATTTACAATAGCTAAGATTTGGAAACAGCCTAAGTGCCCATCAGCAGATGAGTGGATTAGAAAACTGTGGTACATCTACATAATTGAATACTATGCTGCTGTAAAAAAAGAAGGAATTCTTACCATTTGCAACAGCATGGATGGAACTGAAGAGCATTATGCTAAGCAAAATAAGTCAGTCAGAGAAAGATAAATATCACATGATCTCTCTCATTTGTGGAATATAAAGATCATCATAAACTGATGAACAAAAGATACAGAGACAAGGAAGCATCGAACAGACTGTTAAACTACAGGGGTTAGGCAGGGGCGGGTTGGGGGGGTAAGAGATCAACTGAAGGATTTGTATTCATGTATATAAGCATAACCAATGGACACAGACACTGGGGGTGGGGGGGTGAGGGCATGTGCTGGCAGTTATTGGAGGTCTGGGGTAGGTAATGGGGGGAAAAGGAGACATATGTACTACTATTTGTAATACTTTAAACAATAAAAAATAAATAAATAAGAAGAATATCTTACCCTTTGAGACTGCATGAAGAGTATCATGCTAAGTGAAATAAGTCAGTCAGAAAAGGACAAGTATCACATGATTGTACTCATATGTGGAATCTGAGTGACAAAATAAACTGATGTACAGAGTAGATCCAGAGACATGGAAGCATGGAACAGAGTGCAGAATCTCAGTGGGAAAGTGGGGGAGTGTGGGTGGGTGGGAGGTAATCAACCTTGTATGCATATACACATAATCCATGGACACAGTCAACAGGGTGCTGAAAGCCTTGGGGTGCAGGGTGGGCTGGACGGGGTCAATGGAGGGGAAAAAGGAACATATGTAATACTTTCAACAATAAAGAATTATTAAGCCCTAACTGGTTTGGCTCAGTGGATAGAGCATTGGCCTGCGGACTCAAGGGTCCCAGGTTCGATTCTGGTCAAGGCCATGTACCTTGGTTGCGGGCACATACCCAGTAGGGAGTGGGCAGGAGGCAGCTGATCGATGGTTCTCTTTCATCGATGTTTCTAACTCTCTATCCCTCTCCCTTCCTCTCTGTAAAAAATCAATAAAATATATTTTTTTAAAAAGAATTATTAAAAAGAAGAAAGACAAATACCACATGTTTTTATTTATATGTGGAATCCAAAAAAAAACAAAATAAATGAACAAACAAAACAGAAACAAACTCATGGATATAGAGAAAAAATTGATGATTGTCAGATGGGAGGGGGATTGAGGAGGATGGGTGAAAAATGTGAAGAGATTAAGAAGTACAAATTGCCAGTTATAAAATTAGTTATGGGTATGTAAAATATAGCATAGGGAATATAGCCAATATTATTGTAATAACTATGTATGTTGTCAGATAGGTACTAGAGTTATTGGGGTGATCACTTTGTAAGTTATATAAATATCTAATCCCTATGTTGTATACCTGAAACTAATAAAATATTGTATGTTAACTATAATTGAAATTTTTTTTAAAATTCTATAAATGAAAAAAATAAAATGTGATAGCTAAAAATATAAATAACTCCAAGTCTTGAAGATGACCCGTGTTCTATTTTAGGAAGGATCCAGAGTGAGCACCATGATTTATTTGTAATTTCTTGTCATGAAAAATGTAGACTGTAGGTCATTTTAACAAAGAAAGCTGGTTTGTTTGTTGTATTTCTTTTCATTATATTACTAGACCCCAGACATTTGTTCATTTGATATTTCATATCTTTTGATCATACTGATTTTCAATAATTTTGTCTTTTATTTTCAGAAAGAGTTTTGGAACACCTATACAAAAGCGCAACAAGGTGAGAGTAACAGAGGAAGTGACTGGTTTCAATTTTACCTCACCTTTCCATTAATCTTTGGCCTCTTTATTATCCTACTTGTCATTTTCCTAATCTGGAGATGCTTCCTAAGAAACAAAACTCGCAGACAGACAGTGACTGAAGATCACATCCCTTTCCCTCAGCACCTTAATATTATCACTTCACCTCCCCCACCAGACGAAGTGTTTGATAGCAATGGAATGTCGCCAGGCTTTCTGGAATATGTAGTTGGGCGCTCAGATTCTGTCTCCACTCGCCTTTCCAACTGCGATCCTCCACCAACCTATGAGGAAGCTACAGGACAGGTGAACCTTCAGAGGATTGAAACAGAACCTCATTTAGACCCACCCCCGGATTATGAGGACATCATCCACTCCAACTCAGCCAGTGCCATTGCTATGGTGCCTGTGGTCACCACCATCAAATGAAACAGCAAACTTCTTTTTACTATAATCGTTTTTAGAATACAAATAAAAGAACTGTCTACCACTTTACCACTACATAAATATGCATTGACTTATTTTATTGGACTCTAACAGCATACCACTTTACATTTTCTAATTTGATTTTAATTAGTTGTGTTTCCTACTGTAAAATCATTATCCATGCTCATTTTAGGTAATAAGAATATGTGAAAAGGGGAAAACAGTGGTCTTTATGTGATGTGATGAGTTATACATATGTGTGTATGTGTATTCATGCATATCCTATATAATAAAGAGGTGATATGCAAATTGATCATCACACCCTCGCACAAGATGGCCGGCCGGGGAGGGCAGTTGTGGGCGATCAGGTTAGCAGGGCAGGGCAGGGCCGTTAGGTGTGACGAGGCCTGCAGGGGAGGGAGGGCAGTTGGGGGTAACCAGGCCAGCTGGGGAGGGCAGTTGGGGGTGACCAGGCCTACGGCGGGGGGGGCAGTTAGGGATGACCAGGCCAGTAGGGGAGAGCAGTTAGGGGCAACCAGGCCGGCAGGGGAGCAGTTAGGCATTGATCAGGCTGGCAGGGGAATGGTTAGGGGGTGATCAGGCTGGCAGGCAGAAGCAGTTAGGGGCAATAAGCAGGCAGGCAGGCAAGCAGTTGGGAGCTAGCAGTCCCAGATTGTGAGAGGGATTTCCAACTGCCGGTTTAGGCCCGATCCTGAGGGGTCCCAGTTTGGAGAGGGTGCAGGCTGGGCTGAGGGACACCTCTTTCCCAGTGCACGAATTTCGTGCAATGGGCCTCTAGTATACATATATGCATATATACCAGTGCAATGTGTTAAACAGCAATTAACTTCTGTCTAAATCACCTGTAAATTACTCACCAAAATGGGGGTAGGGGACACCGTCAAGTTGTGTAGTAGATAACGATGTGCTGTTCAATTTTGAAAATAAGATGAACTTAGTATGTTTTCTGTTTCTTACTGGCTTTTGTTAAACTTTTTCTTCAACTACCTTAATAGAAAAAAATGCATGTAGTCCATCTTGATTTTTGGAACATCTCAGAAATACAGAGGGAAGGGACAGTAAACAACAACTTGCTTATAGTGTATAGCAAGAAAATTATTGGTAATTAGTGGCATTTGGCTAATTTTGTAAGAGGGAGTTTTTTGTTGTTGACTGTCCTGCCTCCCAGTTAAACAGTGTTTGCTTACTAATTTTGAATGTCTCATGCTATTTGTATTAACATCTTGGTGGAGAGGATTTCCTGCCAACAGAATAATTTACAAAGTACATATATGTATTAATGACAATGAATAGATAAAGATTTCTCCTTTGCTCTTTGGTGACAATAATTATTTTCTTCTCATTGTTTCATTGCTTTTTACTCTACTTTCTATTCCTCCTACCAGCACAGAATCACCATGTACCTAAGAATTTAGTTAAAACAAAATTCTTAAAATTATTTTCTTAATGCTTTTGTATAGACTGAAGTCTTTGTCTCAAGATGATTGAGGCAATTTCTCATTAAATTAAGAATTGTGATTTTTATATTGTTCTCCAGTTGGTGGAGGAAGAGTGCAAAGTCTGTTGTGCCAGGTGCACAATAAATCTAATTATAATAGCTTCACAGAGATCTTGTTATTGTTATTTCATTTTTTTTCATCAGTTTTTTTTTAACTTCAGGATTTTTACTTTTCCTTTGGATCAGAGTGAACAGGCTATGAATGAACTGCCAATATAAACTAGCTCAGAAAGAAAAGTATGACAGTGTTTTTATACAAAGTTCCATAATTTATGGCACTGGTGGGAAATTCATTTTATTAGAGAGATGTCTCTGCCACTCTCAAGCTGCCTTGGTGTTGGGTAAAATGGTGTATGAAGCAGTGGAACGCAGGTTTAGAAAGGGTCATACACTGCTGCCTCCATCTCCATCCCCACTGACCCCTCCCTCAATCTTTCCCTGAAACCAAAGAAGAGAAAATACTGAGGAGAATCCTGAACTAGGAGTCAGATGACATGAATTCTAATCCCTTTCTGCAATATACTTGCCATGGTACCTCAGGAAAGTCCCATATCTGGCCCTCAAATTCCTTTACTCTGAAATGGTAGTAAAATCATTTGCCCTATCATTCTCCGGTGACTTCAAAGGATCTAATGATATGGTGTGCATGAAAGTAATTTGTAAGATATGAAGAGGTCATAGCATTGTTCTTTAGTTAAACTTCTGTCATACTCTGGTCTATACCAAGGCTGTGCCAACTTAAAGATGACAGCCAGCTTAGCACAAACAGGATTAAGCAAATGTTAGAAAGAGAACTACAATGGGTGTGCTTAGTTAATAGGTTTTGTAGCTTTCATGAATAAATCTTCACCCTAGTCTCAGCAGAAATGACAATATTGTTTTGAATTTGGCCATGGTGATCTTTGGCTTCTAGTTAAAGCTGAAAGTTGAAGTTTGATACTTTGACTTGTGTCTGTATGTGTGGATATTTTGGTTTATTTTAAAATGAAAACTAAGGCTCCTTTTGTATATATTTTTATGTCATTAATATCAGGCCTTAGATTAAACCAGCAGTTTTCAAAAGTGCAGCCCATGAACTCTGGGGTATCCTTGAGACCCTTCTAGGGATCGGTGAGATCAAAACTATTATCATAATATTACAAAGCTATTATTTATCTTTTCATTCTAACGCTCACTCTCTCAAAATAGTTAAAAATATAAAACAATGCCATCTTCCCTCAGATCTTATTTCTGTTTTAGAAAATAAGGCTATTTTATTAAAAATGTTATTTATGTTAGCACATAATGGACTTTTGAATTTTAAATGAATAAATGCTTTTTAAATTTTTATATATTCTAATATGACAAATATGGATAGATGTCAACTCCATAAACAAAAGCTCTTTGACATCCAGATCCCCAATAAAAACATAAGAATATAAGGAGGTCTGGAGACCAAAAGTTTCAGAATTACAGGATTATACAAAGGAGCAGAATGTTCTATTACTAAGTATATATTCTTGCAACTTTATTTTACATTTCAAACTCCTGATATTGGATTTAATGCTACCTTTTAGTGATACCTGAATTGCAGTATATGAATGAATGTTGATTCTTGAAACAAAAGCCAAATGCTTAAACTGATCAATGACCACAGCTTTTTTAGACTATTGGTTAAAGAAAGCATTCCTACTCCATAGTGATAACTGGCATTAGTCACAAGTCTCCTGGCAGCATTGGCATCATGATGACAGGATAAACAAAATACCACTTTCTTCAAGAAGCATTCTCTTAGGTTTGTTTGGTTTTATTTTGCTTTGTTTGGGTTTCACATTTTTAAAAACCCTTTTGCTATGCCACCTGGTTTTATAAACTGTATTTCTTAATATGTTTTATAATTAAAGGGGCTTGTCTGGAATAAATATATTTTTATGCTTTTGCCTTTCTTTCCTGATAGATACTACATTCACCTTTGATCATTTTTAATAAAGGTTTATTTTTACAGATATATTTAGTGCCTTTCTTAAGCAGTAATTAAACTAAATCAACCAGTTTGCATTTAAATTAAAGAATGGGCTTCCAGAAGAGATTTGGGGTTTTGAGTTATCTATAATTCACTACTCCTTTTCGCAAATATTTAAAAAGAAAAATAAAATATTTTGAAACACACACACACAAAAAAAAAAAAAAAAAGAATGGGCTTAATGGTAGTTCTTCCAGTGGAATGGTTTCCAAACTTCCACATGCAGTAGATGTGTCTGGAATCCTAGAACTATCTGCCTCTCTGTTTTGAATATCACAATTAATTGTATCTGCTTAAAGTAAATTATATTTCTTTTTTCATATTGAACAATACAAATACTGATGCTGTGTTTGATTCATTGTTAATTATGACTTCAAGATTGATGATCTGATATGATAACTGGAGGTTGCTTTAACTTGGTTCTGTGTAAATAGGATGTATTTTATTATAATATTTCACATTTTTAAACACTTGGTTTACATTAAGTTATGGTATTTAACTATTTTTATGATTATACTAGGTAATGTTTTTCTTATATCTCTATGTTTTTGGTATGCTAAATGGAGCTATTTTTAAACCTAAGAGATTTCTTCTACCATGTGTTAATTATATTATGAGTAGTTAATAAACATGCTGCATAAGTTCTTATTAATTATGGTCTTTTTAACAAGGTAAAATTCTGTTTCTTTTTTTTCTTATGAATTTAAGTAATATTACTCAAGAAATAAAAAGTTATGTTGACAACATCAAGGTGTTCCCAGCAAGAAAGAACTTTCTGTACTACTTTTGAATGATGCTGGCATGACACAAATAGAAACACTTGCTTCAAATGGATAGACTGAACTTGGGTAAATGGTGTAGTTTGTCAAGTACTGGAAATAGTGTTATCTGAAGATATCAAAGAGTTGGATTTTTTTCTTCCTTAGCAGAATAGCGTGCACTTGATATTTAGAAGATGAGAAAGGAAATCACAAGATGGATACATATGTAACCACAAGGAAGCTTCTTAAGTGTAGTTACCTCAAAATCTAAAAGCTAATATGATATGTCATTTAACAAGCAAATGTAAATGACTTGATTTTTATGGTATAAAAATTTTAATTATATTTGAGGAGGAATTTTAAGTATATATTATAAGTCTAAGTATCCATTTTCTAAGCATCAGTCCCCAGAGAGTTGTCCAAAATATCATAACAATGTACTTTTAAAAACATATAACAATTTCGCCCCACCTGCTCCTCACAGGTACAAGCCCTTACGAGCCACTTACATATTTGATGGAAAAACTTTCCCAACAGAAAATTTTGAGGCTTTAAGTTTAGGAAATTTTATTTTTTAAATACCAGATTAGTTATATTAAACCACTGGTGATTTTGAGGGTGGCAGTTAGCGTTAGAACCTTATGTATTTCAGATGCTTGAGGAGATCTGTAAGGATGCCACTAGCTAACTCAATGTTGCATGTATAGGAGCATGGTGTCAGGATGTGGGTCACAGGAGACACCGGGCGAAGCCACTGCTCAGGGATTTTACATTTGACCAAGAGTGACATCCA